GTATTCAGAGAATAAAATCGCCAAGTTTTGTTTAGCTTGTGTCTGCCATTTACTCATGTTCATGTTCTATCATTCTGTTTCAGCCCTGTCCCCAACGATCACTAGATATCCGAGTTGCGCAATGTGCCGTTCATAATCGCAAAATTTATCATGGAATACGATATAGATGGCGCCCGTACACATCAGGTACACTGGTCTTGTTTCTCTCCTTTATGATTTTTATGTATCCATACTGTTTTTCATAAGTCTGTATTGACAAAAACAGACCCAGACTTCTGTGCTCCATTGCCTGTTTTATTGACTGTAGAATTTGCATGGTTGTCCAAAAAGTGCTTGTGCACTTAATAAGCTTAATAAACATGCTCGTTCTTAATGCAATCATTAAAATTGTCTTAGATTTAAATTGGATAATGCAGATAATGCAAATTGTACAATAATTGTTTGTCTAAAATGCGCGAAGGCAAAAGGCAATTAATGTCGAAATATGGTCTAACCGATATATCCTTCGGGTCTTTAAGAAAGTAACGAATACATTTTTCTTCTTAAATTTCAGTCAATGGTCGTTACCCCCACAACCCCTGTGCATTGGTGTGCCACAATGGGGAACGAGTGCTACAGTTTGCGGAAAAGACGATAGATGGGACCTCATGCAAGACGGAGCAGTTCGAGGGAATATGCGTCGACGGTCTCTGTGAGGTAAGCATTTTAACGATGTGTGTGCTTGTACTAGATACAGCACACACACACACACACACACACACACACAGAGAGAGAGAGAGAGAGAGAGTCCCTGGGAGATACATGTTTATCGATTTTGTGCTTCCATTCATTTCTTGGATTGCTTTACGTTAGTAGAAAAATAACATGATGTGTTGCATTTGTTCTTCACCCTGCACCACTTAAACCATCCGTCGAAAATTAGCCGTAAAAGTAATTCTGTTAAAATTAATTCAATATATTTACTGATCAAATCGAAAAATAAGTTGCTATTCTCATTTAAATACAGCAAGAACAATTATAGTAGGCCTCTACACGTACGTTTGGTTAAATACCTTTTCCGTCCAATTGTCTGAAACAAGAAAATACGTCCCAGATAAAGATAATGTGATATTCAGACGGTACCCTTATTGGATCAGTGCAGCAGATTATCTTTGTTCAAACAGCACGATGTTGTGTCTGAGAGAAAATGTACTCAGATTAGGACAACTCAAGGCCAAATATCACACCTACTCCATAGATCTAACGTGAAAAGGACATATGCGAAATTAACGTTCTTCATTTGCTATGTGTGTGTGTGTGTGTGTGCGCGCGCGCGTGTGTGTGTCGGAGAGGAGTTTCGCTGACATGTGTATTATAAATCCACATTTTTTGCGTTTTCCTTAATATCAGCATTAGCAAATGGTTTTCCAACACCTTACAAATATACTGTAATGGAGTTCCTATCCATAGATCCATAGAATACCTGTGTTAAATGAATGTTTTGTTTAGCTTCTCTGCTGATTTGATCACTTCTGAGACACGGGTTGATGGGAACCATGCTCACAATTGGACAGAACCCAAAGTCTTATGTAGAGAGTCAGACACAGACACAAGGAGTATTTGGGAATAGACCTGTAACAGAAAGAAATATAACCTTGAAAAGATGGGGGGGGGGGTTCGTAATAATCGTCGCCTGTCTAATACGCCCGCCTATTCTGCTCGTTCTCAGAACATGAGGGAAGGGGGCAAGACACAGCTTATCAAAGAAACCAGGGGAAACAACAAACAGTAGGTTTACCATCACTTCCACCGGGACATCAGATGTGACAAACTCAATAAAGAAGCCGGACGAAGCGGTCATCAACTAAAAGGCCTACACAAATTTCTTTCAAATTTACTACATAAGATCTCATGGGGTTACTTAGACTATTGCAACACATTTTCCAAATTTCAGAGCAGTTTTTAAAAATATATATATTCCAAAGATCTTAGATCTTCTGATACACCCTATATCATATTTTATTCGACCTTCATCTGTATAAAAGCAAATTTGGACGGAACTATAACGTAACTTGAGATAAGCAGCCCTGATTTTACAAGAACAAGATTACCAATCTTGTCTCATAAACCACCGGTTGTTATGTCTGTAGCTTTGAAAGCATTCCTAAGAGATTAAAGTTATTTGCTTTCTATGTTTCATTGTCGTCTAAGACTTTGAGACTTTAACTGTCATAGTGTAAATAATGTCATTGTATTTGAAATATTAGTATCTTGAATTTATGTAATCTTATATAGGTGTAAGTTATAGAGAGGGACACAGTAAACGCAAATTTCGCTATCATGGCAGTCATTACACAACCCACTTGTATGTGAAAGATTATACATAAAACCGCGCCAACATCACATACATAGAACACATCCTTGAGAGACCTCGTCATAACGGCAATGTATATAAATTCTTATAAAAATACGGTGTTTGGGTGGCAAACACCCAACTACATACTCCATTTGCATACTTTTAAGAATATATAGTCACCAAAATATACACGCCTAAGTATTATCTCCATAAACATTTTGTCAGTACAGAGCTGCTGTCTTGTGCATGTAGGGCCAGAGTTTGTTCGTTTACTAATATACGCATGAATTATACCTGGTTTGCTTTGGTTAGACAACCTCCTAAAATGTTGCCTTTTCAAATGTATGTTTTTTTAGCCTACCGGATGTGACAATGAGCTGCACTCGAAGGCCGTTTTTGATTGGTGCGGAGTTTGCCAAGGCGACAATTCTACGTGTCACGTGATCTCTGGCTATATTACATTATCTATAGGGATGGGTAAGTAACTGTGACGCACGGGTTGTTTTTGTTTAAGCTCATCGACTGTGACAACTTTTCAACTGCTAATCAAAGTACAATATTTCGCTAGTAGGCTTCAAAATCGTATCGTAAAGCTTCCAGCACCTTTCGGTTAAAGAATCTGAATTGGGTTAAAACTTAAAAACCTATCATTTCCAACATTATTTACTTTCATTCGGTTTGTAAAAGACTATTTCTTCCCATAGAGTCAAAAACTGTCCTTCACCTTCCTCGGCGCGCGCGACACATCGTCATACGGGAGGAGACGCAGACTGTGGCAGTGTTCGGTAAGAATGTTCCCATTTTCTAGATTAACAATATGTGCCTATCAACTGCGTTTTTTTTTTCTGATTTATCACAATCACAAAAATATGTAATCAAACTGCATGGAAAATTCCTCAGTGCAAATATGTTTTATAGCATTTAATATACATGTAACAAAAAACAAATGAATAAACCAAAGAGAAATTTATAAAAACACACTCGAGCACTCGTGTAAACATCTTTTTGCCATTTATTCAGGCTACTTTTTGTATAACTTTTAAAGGGTCCTTAAAGGTACATTTTATCTTAAATCTTATTTTGATATATAGTTCTTATGTCTCAAAGGCATGTTGTCCCCCCCCCCCCTTAAAATAAATCTGGAATTACTCATTGCCACACGAATTGAAATTTCCAAGTTTTCATGTAACAATTACAGGCCTTAGCTAACGGCAGAAAAACGTAGTCTTGAAAACTTACCGTTTTGAGTTTGTTATCCGATTGACTGCTTTTTTCTTATATTAGAACATTATCGGTGACACCACGAGAATTTCTTCTAATTAGTCCTTACATTACAGCCATAAAGGACAGTCGGGAGCTTTACTATATCAGCGGATACAGTGTGTACCCCATGGGTCGACAAAACATCGGCGGCACGGTGTTCTGGTACTATCATCCAATCTATGACGGAGAACACGAGAGAATGGCGGCAGAGGGTCCCATCAACAGAGAGCTTACGGTGGTGGTTGGTATAAGTCTTTGACACTGGAACTGTTCTCAGTAGAGTTATTTATATAAAAAATGGACGAGTTGTTGCATTGGGTGCAATGAAAGTAAACGATTTTGTGCACCGTCTATTTCGGTAATATATTGGCATTTGTATTACTTTCAGGTTGAATATTATTTAAATGATAGCATAAGACTTAAATCTAGCCGTTTACATTTCTTTCTATCCATGTATCAATTATTTAGCCTTACTTTCGTAGGCAAAGAGGTGAACTTTACAGATGCTGTGAAATATCAAGAAATAAAACGATCTCTTAGGTAAAGGTACATGTACATTGTATAACTCCTGTTGAATCTGGGCATTGTTGTATGCCCGCAATGGATCCCATATCGTTAATTGCATGACATATCAAACTCTGTTTTTGATTTTAGGTTTTATCAAGAAATAAGAAAACTGACACTGTTAAGGTGTACTACGAGTATACCGTTCCACTGCAGATCTATCCTGATATTTACAAAGTAAAAGATGATGCTAAAATCCCAAACAGTTCCTCTGCACCATTGTTGGAACAAAGTTTATCGACCACTCGTGAAACAACTGTACCACCAACGGAGCCCCCAAAAAGAAACGTTAAACATAGTGATAGAGCAACAGACTATCCCACCCGTTCCAGTCACAAAAAGAATGGTTTCGTGACAGAAAATGAAATATCTGAGAAGATGCATAGAGCCCATAGCCTTCAGCGAGAGAAAATATATGATAACGATGAAATAGGCAATGTACCCAAAGCACCATCTGATGTAGCATTAAAACTACCGTACAAAATTGCTGAAGATGAACAAGAAAATTCAAAGAATTCATCACCTTTACTGCCATCACTACCTACAAAAATCGGAACATCAGTGACAGCTCAACCTAAAAAGCAAATATTCCTTAAAAGCAATATATCGTACGCTCCTGTAGGAAATCTAGATGTAGCCCCTAGTGTAGAAAAAGCTACAGTTTCTGGATCTCCAATAAAGCATGTGATTCCTTCAAATGTTCGCTCAGATGCTGCGCATGCGCAGTCAATGTCTTCTGACGCCATGACATCGACGTTGTCACCTTCAACATTCGCTGTGACGTCACCAACATTTTCATCATCATCATTATCATTATTATTTAATTTTAATATGCCTCAAAATGCATTTAAAACGCAAGAAACCTCAACGGCAATCACAAAAGCGCCAGCAACGACACCAACGCCTTTGCGGATAATGCTAGCGCCTCCTCCCCCGATGCCTTTGATAATGAAACCAAAACCTAAACGCTTAATGAATGTGATACACGAAACAAGACGACCAGATTCGGCACCTGTATTTGTTCGGGAATCTTTACTGGACGGCCAGGGACTAGAAGCGACAACTGTAGCATATGGCAAAGACGGTAGGTCGAGCAGAGGAAATCTTACTTATTATTTAAAACACTTTGGTCTTGGGGTTTCACAAATTCTAAACGTAACCTAACGACCCCTATTTAACCTTTTTAGTTACCTTGTAACTATGCTGAATTCGGGTTCTTTTAAAAGCCGTTGTCCATGCCTCTAATATGGCTCATCCTGGTTACATTTGTGTCTTATTGTTAACTAGACAAAAAGTGTGCGGATTTCATGCATACTGGTTTCAGTAAAATTATGATTAGAGGTTTTTGATAAAAGGAAGAATTGTATTTTTACAGAATGTTACACTAGACTTTGTACCAGCAAAATTTATGTTTTGTTTCATTAAAAAATTAATCCAAAATGTCATTAACTAATTTAGGTGATATGTACATTAACACAACAAAAGACTCGGCGCCTTCGAAAGAAGATCTGCCTAAAGGTATCACTTTTTATTTCGTTTTTTCAAATATTTATCTTTACATGCAGTATCTAGGTTTATCTGTTTTAATCTAACAGTCATGTTTTATATGTAGCCATAGAGAATTTTAAGTGAATTGGCTGCCTTTTATTTCTCAGATAACCTATTTGATTTTTGACATCCACCGGCCACCAAAACAGATATTGTGTAGACATTATTCTTTATCTTTGCCATTTTGCCGTAACCGGTCAATGCTTAGTTGTTTAATCGTCTCATCGTCCTCATAGGCCATTCGCTTTAAATGATGACCAAGACAGTCGCCAATTTTTCAGTTAGTCTATCGATATATTTTATATTAATCATTTAAAAGGGTGCATTTCTGTTATATTTTGGTAGGTGTGCCCGCCCCAGCGGTTAGCAGTGATTACCGAAATCCTGAGACCAATGCCGAGAAAGCAGACTACAGATGGGTAGTCAATGGAAAAGCTCCTTGCAGCGCCACGTGCACTACCGGTAAAAAAAATTATATTGTTTCTGCTAGTGACTTTGCCATATTGACAAGCGTTAATCATCACTGTTTGTACATCCGATAATTTGCAGGAACCTTATTTGTACCAAGGTTGCCCACTCGTAGGGCTTTTGTCAATAACATGCTAACAATACTTATTTTGAGAAAAGTATGTAATATTGGCGAATGTTTGCCTTCTTTTATGCAACTCTTTCGCGTAAATCAGAATACTTGTTTTTGTCAAAGTATTTTTAATTATAATTCTTCTAAGTAGTTCATTCATTTTTGTATGTTTTTATCACTGTTTTTGACAAATGCATTCGATATATCACATGGATGTCACATATGTGTATATTTACTGTGTATATACATTTTAGATGCACTTTAGACTTTTTTGTTATTTTTCTTAATATCATTTGATATCTATTATACTTCATTCAGGTCTTCAGTCCACATACGCGCAATGTCAGAGAAAGAACGGGATGGTGGTAGAAGACGCGAACTGTGACGAAACCAAGAGACCGGAGCCCACCCACGCTGTGTGCTTCGGAAAGCCGTGTTACGCTAGGTATTGCGCATGCCCCAGTAAGCACGTGACATCTAGGTCACGTGGATACCACGTGGCCACATTGTCAACAACAGAGTCCAAACGTTTTTTTTTTTTTTGAGCAGGGTAAAAGTCCTGTGCAAAGTGTAACCATCAATTACAGATACTTTTTTTTAATTAAAAACTAAGATTTCGAAAAATTAGAATTTTCTTTGAAAATTTCTAGCAGTTATAAAAAGGTTAAATAATCTCACTTTTGGGTTTTGTGCGTTGTTTTATTATGTGCATTATGGCATTACAAGAAAAACACTGGTTTTGAGCACATTAGAAAAGGCAATCTTTATTTTGGCATGCGTTATATTTAGGCACTAGTATAGGCCTAGTAATATTATTCTGCACCCGTCTGACAATACTTCGCGCTACGTGTCTCTCAGGTGGGTTGAAGGCTTATGGAGCCAGTGTTCCCGAAGCTGTGGGGACGGAGAGCAGTACCGCAATGTTCGCTGCTGGCAGATGATGGCGCCAGGCTTCGACAGCAGTGTGCACGACTTTCTGTGCGATGCTCGGAGGAAGCCGCAGTATTTAAGACGCTGCAAGGAACGCGACTGTGGACCGCTTTGGCAGGTTTCGGAATGGACAGAGGTATAATTAGCAACCACAGTATCCCTGATGAATAGGCCCCTGCACCCCCACCCCAAAAAAACACGATATCATTTTAGAGTTTCCTCTAAATCCTGAGAGCAAGCGCCTTGCTAGTAAACGAACTATCAATAGAAGTAAAAGTAAAGATGTCAGGAAACAGCCAACATCATTGATAAAAAATTCAATTGACATGCCAGTTTCACTACTATCTGTTATGGACTGCTCAGTCCTTCAAAAACACCCATCAACAAATTTATATATGTAGGTACCTTATTTGTCTTTAGATAAAGACACCAAGAATGTTTTCAGTGCACTAAAGATATTTGTTCCATGCGCCTTCAAAAAATAAGACGGATGTGGCGATCTATATGTTATCTATTAGATGGTTGTTTTTTTTACCAGTGCTCTACCAAGTGTGGGTACGGGATACAGCGTCGAGAAGTACGCTGTTCAGCTCGGCAGGAAGATGAGTGTGTGGTGGGGAAGAAGCCAGCACACGAACAGCGATGTTACCTTGGGCCGTGTGTCAATCAGTGGACAGTCTCTGAGTGGAGTGAGGTGAGCTGACTACTACGCATATTCCCCTATTATCATTATAACTGTATTTGTGTCATTCTTGTTTAAAGTTCACTTTCTGCTCGTAAAATTTTTAATTCCTGCCGTCTATTTCATTTTCAATATCTTCGAAACGAAATTTGCTTTCTGCCATTTTTCCATTTCAGATTTATAGCTTATAGGGAAGCATATTCATACTCACGTGCAAATGTACAGGAGTAAAGGAAGTGTGTGTATGAGCATGTGCACGCGTGCGCGCACGCTGCGTGTGTGTGTGAGAGAGATAGAGAGGGAGAGAGGGCGTACAGATATTTTTTTTCAGCTTTAGATAACACATTGAATAACATACATTGTAACACATAAAATGTCTTTAAACACTATGCGTTGCAGTGTTCCGGACCGTGTGGGTCAGGATTACGTTCACGTAGTGTCACGTGCCGTGACGTCAACGGCAATTACCTTCCCAGCACGCAGTGCGACCAAGGGAACCGTCCAATCGCCGTCCAGGCCTGTGGGGACCAGCCAACATGCCACCCAACCTGGGTGCCACAAGAATGGGGACAGGTCCGTTTACCATTGTTGTTTTAACTTAAAACAGTATTGCTTTTGTGCCAATGAACATTTAAAACATGATCTACATTAACTGTGACACTAATTGCCGATCTAAATATCAGATGAACATCTGTCTGCTCAGAAGTACCCAGTAAATATATTCACCAAAAATATAGATCCGTCCGTGCCCAGTTTGCTGTAATCTTTCAAATAGAAGCCATTACGTCCAAGAACACGGTTTACTTTTACTTACAGTGTTCAGCTGACTGCGGCGAGGGAAGGGCTAACCGAAAGATTCTGTGTGGTGCCGTGGTTAACAATAACTTCATCGTCCAGCCGGACGCCTACTGCGCCAGCAAGAAGCGGCCTGTTGACGAGGCGACGTGCCAGGCTAAGCCTTGTGAGGCACAGTGGTTCACCACACAGTGGTCTAAGGTAGTATATGCCAATACCCCCATTACACACACGCATATGCCACCTCCACAATACACTAATGTAATGATGGTTTCAGAGAGCTGAATCGCCCCTTCTTCTTTCATCATTCCTATAAAAGGTTTTTGTCGCCCTGCCCGTCTTAGATTCTAATTAGTATGAAAACTAGTCGGTCTTTGTAATAAATATGGCAGCCAAGGTAAGATTTACACATAATGATGTTTGCCTCCCTTTGCTTTGATATTGTGGATCGTCCAGTTGGTTTTCCTTATTTTTTTCAATGCTTTTAAGCATTACAAATACTTATATTTATGGAGGTCAGGGAGAGAAACGACTAGTTTTACCCAAATCGTAAACTTTCTATCTCTATATTTCCAGTGCTCTAAAACTTGCGGAGATAACGGCGTTCGAGTGAGAACGGCCAAGTGTTACAGAAAACACAGTGATAGCACGGCAGCTTGTGATGAAAAGAAGAAACCAGCTACAGTCGAAGTGTGTAACATGCCGCCTTGTGAGCCCCTTACACCAGGTAATCACACAGTGTCGCTAAGCCTAACTTGAAAACGATTTTAGCCTGAAACAAATTTCAAATAAGCGTTATTCTAACAAGAGGCACAATCACTTAAAAAGATAAAATGTGAATAACTTTTTGTGTGAAATAGTCACGGTAAGATATTTTTTGTAAAAATAACGTTGCGAGACACCAGTTTCGAAAGAAAAGTTTTATCTGGGTAAGGCTGGGATCGGGGTTGAGATAAAAACATCGCCGCAAGCTTTGAATATATGTACAGCCAATTGCTAAACATCAAGCAATCAAATTTTTTGTGCCGTGTCAATTGCGTTCCTCGAAAAAAGGAGCATGCACTCAAGTGTATTATGCCATCAATGACTTCTAGGTCATAGCAGGTATTAATAAAGGGAGGGTCAACCTGCCTGTCCTTTGTAACCCATTTCTCACATAAATATATTTGTTTTGTTCATTTTTAAATATTATTCCTTTTTCCAGGTGGAGGGTGTCGGGACGATAAGACTGCCAACTGTGCCCTAGTTTTACGAGTTCAACTCTGTGATCATTGGTACTATAAGAAGGCCTGCTGCGCTTCTTGCAAAGCAGACAAAAGAAAGAATGGGTCTTAAGCCAATTGTGGTAGATGTGACGTACAATCTCATTGTGTTGGTTGAGATTTAAATATTGCTGAGAGTGATTGTGTTCATTTTGTGTTCGCACTTGCTCGCTGCATTCCAATATATTGACCATTCATTATTTTTTAATTTTTTTACTTCAATTTTCTTACGAGCAATATTTTAAGGTTCATAGTATATAAGAAAAAAGAGAACGGCGAACCGTGTTAATAACATTCACTTGGTATCAGTTGAAAGAAATATGACAATTTAAGTGTTTTATATTTATTTTATAATGAATTATAATTAAATGTTTCACTTAATCTAGATTTCCTAGTATAAAGTATGTTTGCGATTTTTGCGTTTTCCTTTTTCTTCAAATATCCCGCAAGAAAATGCAGTAGTATCGAAGTAGCAAAGAAGCATTAACGCAGTAGTGGTGTGGAGCACATTTGCAGTAGAAATGCAGTATAGCCTACTGCAATTCTACTTCAAAAATTACATAGGGTTGTACAGAGGAGAAGCATTAATGCAGTAGATTAGCAGCATGATCGAGGCATGTTTCAAATATGCTAATTAGCTCCCACACCGAAGCAGATTTGAAGCATGTTTGAAGTATGATTGCAGTAGTCTACTGCGCTGGAGTATCTACTTCGTTTTCGTGCGGGATTGCTTATTTGCCAGATTTTCCTTAACTGACTTTAATGTATTAAGTTTTCCAGCAAAGCCACTGCCATGTGTTCAAATTTTCAAAAGAATGTACTGTATTTGTTGCTCATTCCGTAGTTTGAAGTAGTATTGTGGATAGGTAAACAGCAGTATAGAAAAGACTTTTTGATGGGAGAGGGTTTCTGAACAGGTAAAGCCATGCCAGTGGCATAATTTTCAGGCACTTTCTGTATAATGCCGGTCGATCTGTGTTAGCATAGAGTTGGGGTGAGGGGGGGGGGGGGCGCTGTCACTGGCTTTATAATACTCTTTCATGTATCTGTTCAGAATTGAATGAGGTATTTAGTATCTTGCAATTGCGAGCTTATTCAGGTGTACCATCAACGAACGTGTGAATCGTGTGCTTCTTTGAACTGAATTGAAACTGTGTGTATATGAAAAGTGAGCGCATACCAATATACCAATGACAAAGTAAAGTGATATTATTTGTATTTTGATTTATAAGCTCATCACTGCCAGTTTTCACCGATTAAAATAAAGTCGTGTTATTGCACACAAAAATATTCCTTGTGTATATTTTCATTTTCAATAAGTTTTCTTTTATCTCTTTTTTATTTTGCGTCATTGCTCTCTTTCTCACTCGCCAACACAAACTGGTAAGAAGCAAAATGCACTTTATATCAAAACATTTTATTTGTGCTGCATTCGTGATACCCTTCACAATAACTTAATTTATCATATAATATACTGTTATAAATACTTAAAATAAAGCACCGTGAAACGTGAGACGTGATGTACGGATTGACATCTAATAAGAACCGAATACAATGAAACAAGAGTCACCAATATATATATATATATACAAGCTTGATTTTTACATATATATTTACCAATTTCATTTTCCACTCAATTACTGTTGAAAATTGGATATAATATTCAACATTTGCAAAAAATACTCAATTCGGGAAAGTATCAAATGGCACAAGCACAGGAGAATTTAGCGATCAACTCGTGCCCTAAAAGCTCACTGCCAATTTTTTTATAATCATAGTAGGATTTAATCCTGACCAAGCCATTAGATGGCACTATGTAACAAAAAAATGTAAGTAGGCTCATAATGTATCACGACTATAAAGGTAAGCCTTGACTGGGTTTCACTTTTGATTTCTTGATTTCTACAACTGATAAACTTTGTCTTAATGTCTTAAATGATCTTTGCACATGGAAATGAATGACTTGTGACTTACTTAAAACCACAAACACGTGAATATTCTAATTTCAACCTTATACCTACTTAATTAAACACCGGTCTACACAAGGATTTGCATCAAAAATGATAAATGTAATAACATTGTCCTTTTTTGACAAAAATAGTAAGAAACATCAGCTACATATTTCAGATCACTTCATCTTATATTCTTTGGCAGACGAAAACAATATTTTGGCTTTTCGAAGAACTATTGTTATAGATAACAAAATGTGACGTTCTTATTATGTGGAATGTACAATTTTACACGAAATGTTCTGACTGAATAAATTAAAAGCTTAGCATATAATTAAAAAGTACAAGAACCATTTACCGGCAAGCTTTTCCTGGAATCCGTTAACTTAAAATGGAATGTTCAAACAAAAAAATGTATTTAAAATATGCGCTCATTATTCACTAATCAATATCACAACCCTCTGTGCATATATTTGTTGGCTTTATATACTTGAATATTGACACACTGTTCTTGCAAATAGACTGAGACAAACTACCCAATTTTGTTTTACTCTGCTTTGGCATATTAATATATATCCACAATTGTTTGCACCACCATCTGTACATTAAAAAGTGCGTCCAGGTTTTAATAAAAAAATGAAATTTAAGCGAACACCATTACCTTATTACTTAGAGCACTTATCAACATATATTTGAGTTTCTAAATCCCTGGATAGAAAACAAAGGCCACCTGGTGATCTAAAACTTTCATAATGTAAGTATAGCTGCTTTTATACTGGGTTTTTTTTCTTAACGTGGTTTTAAACTTAAAGTATGTTGTTAATTACTTATATCCAACAATTAACACACTTTTCTCTAGTTGCCAATATAATAATAATAACAATAATAATAATAATAATAATTCCGAACCAAAGACACAAAACTGACGCATAATGATATATATACACTGTATGTACGTTATCTGGTACGTTAAAAAGAAGCATGGTAATTTTTTGTAAAGTACTTTAGTAAAATGATTGTCTTAATCCTATACGTAACCTCACAGCCGATGTGATTCAATTCACCTACATATAAACTCTGGTCGTTAAATCTTGTTTGCCTTAAAGATCAACCAAATACAGACCCATCCAGTTAATCTGATTAACGTGTAAATATAGCGCACGTAACAATACAAATATCGTCTATTCTCAATGTTGGTTCATGTCCTTGGTGCTGAAGGTTCCAAGTGTTCTTGTTATCTGGGTAGGCCTATTTTGAAACACATTTTAACATAATTCTTTTAACATAATTCTTTGCAAAAGTATAACAAAGAACAAAAGTGTTGTTTCAAGAGCATCCGTAGACTTTCCCCATTTTTGAATAACCATGTATATATTTGTAACACGGGTATCAATTTGGGATAGTTTCTAACTTGCAGGCCATAAACTATCAGAGAGGTCCTGCTTGAATCTGAATCATTAGCGACTGGGGATACTTGATCCATTAACTTCAGCGCTTGCTGCAACAGTAGCAGCGTTCACATTATTGTCTCTGGCATCCATGGAGAGATCTAAATCTTTCATCAGCCTTTTAGCCTCCAACCAGTCCATTTCCGGGTCGGATTTCGGCATTATGATGCACATAAATCGTTTTCCAGTATTGCCGTCGTATGGGAGTATCAAAATGGGCGCAAACTCCTCGTTATTAGCCACATAATCACACACTTGATTGTACACGGTTGGGTACATGTGACGTAAGCTCACACCCCTCTGACGTACTTTCCGTTGTATATTGATAAAGCACACTTCCCGCGCTTTTTGTGGCCCGAGCTCTTCGAGTTCGTGAGCGCCCGGGACTGCGGTAAGAATAAGAGTTTCTTGTTCTTCTTTGGCACCTGGTTTAGTTTTAATATGTGCAGCGCTGAGTCGCAGTTTGGCGCATTTGTGTATGAGTGGTCCTGCCAGGCGTGGAGTTGGCTTTACTGGAATTTCCTTCGCTGCTAGAATGCAAACATGCACCACGAATTTGAACTCTGGGTTGTATTTCTTCGCAAACGCGTGAAGTTCTGACAGCTTCTCGTTGTCTAACTGATTCTCTAGTTCTTTGACTGACACGTATTTTAACTCAGGAGGGTAGTCCATTCCTTTCTCCAACATCTCACTTGCAGCATCGGGGGTATCAAAATAGATATGGACATACCCTCGACCTCGAGACAAGTACCCAGTGCGTGCAACTCGCGATACATGGTACAATAAGTCTTGATCCTTGTTAATCTTTTTGATTACATTTTTGCACACACTGCTCACTCGACTGTAGAGGCATCTTTTCTTGTGACTGTCCCAATGCATTTTGCGGCACTGTCGACTACAATAATACGTATAACAATGGTGACAGGTCTTATAGCTTTTTCTAGCCTCTTTGAGCACTTGAACCTTGCAACACTGAGGATATCGACACTTCACAAGAACTTTCTCGTCGTCCACGACTTCAGTGGATGTTTTCTCTGGAGGTATCTCCTCCTCTAAGTAATGTATACTCTGCGTACTATCTGCGCTCATATTCAAGGAGAACATGCTAAGGTCGACTGAAGTTCCACTGGCGTCCAGGGAAAGCATGCTGCTCATTGGGGATTCCTGCAATGCAGATGTCATGAAGTTCTGCACACCGGTTTTCTCCGGCCCGCCCTCGAGGCTATCAGCTTGAGCCCTTGTTGGGGATTGGGTGTCATTTGGAAGAGATAATAAACCATTAAGGACCTCCTCCATAGATGCATTCTCAAGAGAATCTTCAAACACGTCTTCTGCCAAACCACCGTCCCATTCCTCGTCCGAATCGTCCAAATTTGTTTCTGTGAATGTCACCTCTAGATCATTGTGTCTCAGAGGTTTGGGAGTGCTACTTTCTCTTGGTGACTCGTTTCCCTGAGCTTCTGCGAATTGTAGAATAGGAAACGGGGTGTGATTGCCAGACGCTCTTCCAAAAGCAGACATGGCGGACGAGGGCCTAGATGACGCCATTGTCGCTGGAGTGGACCTCCCAGCATGAGAGGACAAGTTTCTAGAATGTCTTCCTGTCGGTTCCGGTGCGTCCCACTCAGTAGTTCGTCTTTCTACGGGCGGTGTGTAGTAATAAAGGTCTGCAAGGCTCGACTCTTTGGACAAAGTCCCAGCTGTATCGAACGGTCGTGCTGGAGATTGCGGTGGAGTAAAGAAACGCTGTACAGCTTCAAATGCCAGCTGCATGTTTACTTCCGGTTTTGGAGGCAGCGGTTTTCCTTCTGTTGGAGAATTACCCTGCGTCTGCGCTGTAATGGCATCAATTTGAGCACAGATCTCATTAATAACAGGGTCATACGTTGGTTCTTGTTGCCCGTCTTCCTCCTGCTGCCCATTAGTTCCAGGCCCATTACTAGTTGGGCTTTGCTTGGTTTTAGGTACTACCGACATGCTGCCAGTGGGGCTTCCACTTCCCCAGCGGTTTTCTATGCGTTTTAATTCACTTGGGCTTTGGCGAAATTTTGCACTAGGTAGTTCAAATTTTGTTGTGCTTAACTGTGACGTTGGTGTTGTGGGTGAAGATTTGTTACTACTGACCGACAGTGGCGGCGTCACCCTACAAGGCGTTATCACGGGACGCGAGCCAAGTTGCTGTCGAGACTTCGCAGGTGGCGATACCACTGGTCTCGGGGACGGTGAGAAAATATCACCGGCGCTGTTGGCATTCTTTAAGTAAACTCCCTCTTTAGGTTTGTGGCTGACAGGAGACGCTTTATACCAATCTGGCACAGTAAGTTTTTGGAGAGATTTGCTAACGCGAAGACCATACGTGGATTGGCTGCGTTGGTCACTAGATAAATCTCCGTCGCTCAATGGAACGTCGTTTGATCCTTTTTCCAACTTATTTGAACGCCTACTGCTCGTTAATTCCATCATGCTCTTTGCTTTACTTATTGGACTTAAGACTTCATCTAGATTAGTTTCCTGGTACAGTAATGTTCTGGTTTCTTTCCCAGTATCCAGATCTGTCTCCAGTAAGCACGGTGTAGAGGCTCTTTCTGTGAAGAATTTGCTGGGATGTGTATGGGGGCCTGCGTGGCACATATAAATGTTATCCATGGACTTGGTTTTGCTGGCACGCTGCAGTGATTTCGCCTTAGCTTCAGCAATTGCTTGATCAATATCATTACGTGATACAGTCAAACTTTTTGGTCGTGCTTTACGCAGTTTCTCTTTTAAATCCAGAGCTGGGCTAGTTTTGTTTGCACCAGAATTAATCCCGGGTAGATCCATATCTTCTACTTTCGGCACAGGTACATGTGCCTTGTCTTTATGATGAGATTCACGTTCAAAACGAGACTTGGCAGATTCAGACGCAGCGCCGCTGAGCTCTTGGTTCTGCGGAGAATCACGAAGGAATAATTGTCGACTGACTTTGCTTTTCATTTTGGATGGAGGAACGAGCACGTCGGGCCTTGAGTCGTTCGTATCATGATAATACGGTTGAGCTGGAGATGCAGGAGCTGACACAGGCTCCTGTAGAACGGATTTGTACGTTTTGGGAGGCGGTTGAGGTCTCTTTTGTTGATTCACGGAGTCCAAACTGCTAACACTACCGGTGTTTCTGATGTACGTCTTTTCTGGTCTACTTGGAGCAGTATTATAATTCTTTGGGGGTGGTGGACGCGGTGGCGCATTTTCTGCATGCAAAGGCACTTCTGGTACACCGCCTGTTATGAAATCATTAGTAGTGTTCAAGATTGTATGTTTACGTTGAGAATCCTTTGGACTTGAGGACCTCATTTTCACAGGTGAATGATGTCGTTTTGAATCCAAATTTCCCTTGACGTGGTCACATTCGTCGTCGTCGTCATCATTCCTCGAAGGTCGATAATGCATTTCTTTATACCATGACGGAATATTCGCTTTAAGTGCCCTGGTGGGAGACGCCGACGGTGACGCTTCTGGACTCAGTAACCTGTCCGGAGTTTTAAGCCTCCTGTTGAAGGAATCATCTCTTAAGATATGACGTTCCATTGGACCCAGACGCTTGGTAGGGCTCACAGAGCGCGGAAGATATGTCCTTACTGTTTGTACTGAGGCATCATTAGATGCATGCGACTGTTCGTATTCATCCCTGGTATTTTGCATTGCATTTTCATATGGAGATCTCCTATCTCTGTAGCTCGCATTGGTATTATCTGCCTTAGTTACCGGTAAACTATTCGCACTGCTACTACCGCCAGCTCCAAATGGAGATGCACTCGCTGACCTCACCGATACTTTCATGACGTCACTTCCTATCATAGCACCACTGACGTCACTGGCATCTTGTAAAATGTTTTGATCGCTGGCGGCGTTTAACGTACAGGACGTAGACATAACCACGGTCACGTCTGACGGAACCATGGCGTGACCCCTGGTTGTAGCTACGCCTGACGTAGCGTTGGCGCTGGCGATAGAAGCAGCGTGAGCAGTTGCCCGGGCAACGGCAAAGAAGGGATTGAGTCCTGACGCTTCGGCACTGGCGACAGCTGACACCACTGGGCGTCGAAGAGGAGACCCAGGTCGCCCTAGAGAGTCTGATTCTATCTCTTGTCGCGCGACAGCAGTGGAAGTCGCTATAGCGGTCACTGGCTGCACTGGAATATCATTATATCTCATATTTCTATCGACTGCCTCATTATCCTGGCCTGTTTTCTCGTTTCCGTTCATTAAACCGTGTGTTAAATCACCTCCTCTGGCATCATTGCGTCCATTAACTAGATTAGTACATATTTCCTCGCCAGGGGAATTTCCAGGTAAACAAAAATTATGCGTTGTCACGGGAATCGTGTCTTTCTCTGGTAAACTGCTTCGACTGACGCAATCCGCATTATAAGTTCCGTTATTGAATTTATTGTCGGTGTCTGGTCCCTTGAGTAATCCACTCGTTTCATTTGCTATATGATCCGACGTCTTGTTGCTATCACCACCCTTTGGTATTTGATTTGCAGTACGTGTATTCAGCGTTATGTGTCCATACGCTGGATTGTCCCTGCTCTGAAATACATGCAAGTCTCGAGATCCCTGATATTTGCTGTCGTGTTTGCTAACCTGTTGTATAGTTTGCCTAGTGTCATTAAACAGGGGTTTATCACTATGCCGATCTCTGGGATCAAGTCCTTCACGATCAACCCCCTGTTTATTATAATCATTGCTGGTGGAATCCCATGAATTGATTTTTAAGTCATGGTCAATAACCGGCGTGTTTTCCCTGATACCGGGTCTACGGTCCAATTTCGACGCCACCAGGTCAAACGTATGTGTATTTTGATATAGGACCCCTCTTGACTTTATTTTGGGTTTCACGCCGGGTGAAAGTCCCCTGTTGTCAGCCATTTTTGCGCTTTTATCCGCCGTATTTGCTTTAATGGTTAACTTTGAATGACCTTGTTTATTTACCTCTTTGACTCGAGTGTTGTGATCGTGGGTTGTCCTTGGCGTTGCTGGTTCTGAATGTCCACTTTGGGTCCAGTGATGTATGTGACCATCATCTGAAGGTCTACCACAAGTCATAATCGCTCCATCACTGCCATATTCATATGACTGCTTATTACATTTTGTTTCCCTTGTCACATTGAAATTATCTGATAACACTGAACTAAGTTCCGTGAACGTTAGCGCACTTGTATCAATTCCATATAAATCATTTACACAGTCCGATTCGGGTGCATCGATATATTTCAGTGATGTTTTATCACTCAAGGGACGTGAGATAGGTTGCGAAACACGTTCAATAACCTGCGATACTTGCAGCTGCTTAATGTCCTGGTAGCTTTTGTCACCCGAACACTTGCGACTGTCATCGTTATTTAACTTACTCGGTGACTCTGAACGGAGTTGACAGTTTGTATTTGCCCCTCCTCTCTCTGCGATTGTTACTGCAGTCCCCGGCAGACCTCCTCGAGGCTTAGTTCTCTCTTGCTCGAGGACCACGTTAGAATCCGAGGAGCTAAGACCATGCTGCAGGGGTCTGTAACTTCCATACTGTACAACGTTTGTTGCTTTGCTACGATCACTCTCGCCTGAGCATTCAACGCTTAACTCGACACTATTGAACTTTTCTTTTTTCTGAATAGCGCCACCTGTGTTTCGATCGATAATCAATTCTTGTTCAGCGGACGCTTTATTTTCAGACCCGGGATCATTATTTTCGTTTTCAATTAAACGGTTTTGATTACCCCACTTCCTTTCAAAGGTAATACTGCAGCCCGAACTTAGACGGAAGCTGATTTCCGAACTTTGCCGAATTTCTGTCCCCGAGTCACAAACTGAGCCTCCTGCCTGTATAGGTCTCGTCTGCTTCTGCTTCCCAGTCACGTTTGCATTGATTTTGTTCGTATGTACAGATCTCACCTCAGGATACGAGCAAACACAAGAGCCGTCGTCTGCGTTGGTCTGATTATGAGTTTTTTCAAATTGACTGACACGTAAAACCTCTGTGGAAACAAATTGTTTTGGGGAGTAATCGTTTTGAATTTTCTCTGCGCTCCCTGCCTTTGGCTCGTCAAATGTCATAGCTGTAAGTCCTCTAACCGAATTTACGAGTGCTTTACAATGCGTCGTGTTAAATTTATCACCGTGATTTGTCAAGGGCTTTTCAGTGCTCAGGTATGCTATGTTATCAGTATTTACGTTGTCAGGTCCGCTATCGTCTGCTCGCCTCAATTTGTCATCATTTTCAGCGCACCTCTTGTGCTGCCGAGTGCATGGGGTTGATAGGTAGAGGGTGTTAGCGCTATTTAAGTTATCGACGCTGAACAAGCCGGGTTGTGATTTGAGGGCATTCTCTACTGATGCTGGTACTGAGATTTTGCTACTAGCACTGTGAGGCAAATCCGCGTTTATGTCCTCTATCTGATCGTCTGCTGGTGAGGCTAGAGAGCCGTTGTGCCTATCAGTTTCATTTACGTAATATTTTTTACGACTTCCCTCTGATATTATTTTATTGTCTTCCACAGCGGAGCGGGGACGTTGTAAACGTTCATTACGTGTAGTAAAATTATCGTCACTATCCGGATAAATATTGACTTGACCGGTAACCGTCTCAGCATTACCTGACAGCGCGTTCGTGACCAAGCATTTTAATGATGGCCCCGCTGCGCCCTCCTCTGTCGTTTCTGTCGGGGAAATATTGGCATTTCTTTGCAGACTTGGGTAATATCCCACGCCACGTAACTCTAAATTGGCTAAATCGCCTCCATCTGAAAGAACAAAATTGTTTGGTAGCTTATTCATCATTTAATTTAATCAAGTTTTTGTCTGCCTGTGGTCGTTAAATGTTGAGTAAATGTCTAAGCACATAATCATATTAGTTTAATCAAATTTAATCAGAACAACCTTACACGTGGTACTTAAATTGCTATTTGACACATCACGGAGAGTCATTTCACTTTACATATACAGAAATGTACTTGTACGTTTAATTTTTTCAGCCTTAATCAATATGTTTATATTTAAGAAATTTAATCATAATATAACATGATCTTTGTTCAATGATGACAGATTAAAGGAATATTAATCCGACTTTTTATCTTGAAGTGTCTGCCTGACACACAGTCGTTTTATGAGTTTGCTTGGGTAATTTGGTAAGTGTGTATCTGCTCTTAAAGCTAAGCACTGCAACTCAGTCCGCATACAATGTGATTCTATACAGGAGAGAGGCTACATAAAAGAAATCTCATTAAATGAAAAAAACGTGACACCGAAGGAGACGTACACAGACTACTCATAATCCACTGCCTCACTCTCTAACAAGCGGAGGCTTTACTTCACTCACTAATTAATTTCATTTTTAATAGAAATTAGTGAAAATAATGATTGGGCGTGTAAACTGTTACTCGGCTAAATGATATAATTATGGCACTCGGCCAACGGGACACGTCACTTCCAATAATGGTTGAATATAACGATCGTAATTTTAAAGAAACACTGCCCTTAAGACAATGGTATTCCATAAATCTTAAAGTGTCGTGAACTCAAGTAAGTTACGGTTCACACGTGTCCCTGCTTTGTTCTAGGCGTACACTAAACAATCAAATATTAAATGAGAAAATCGAAGGAGCCTAATTTGCTAAATAGTCAGCCTAACCTTGCTGTTGTACAAAAAATGGATTAATGACCCATACTTCTACGACACTGGATTTATCACAAGTTTTTAGTCTGAGTTACCTTCCCGACCATCACAGATCCCAGGTAAATTTGACAATAGGACCCTTCTTTTATTTCCCGATGTCCACATCCCTCCATTCCCGTTGGAAATCCGTCACCTTCCCCTGATCAAAATTTTCCCAAATTTTTTTACACAAATAAATTAGTTGTACCCCCGCCCTGTCCCCGATTGTGTTATAGAACTTATTTGAGGGATTTCCCTAACTTTTCCTAGTTTTTACTTTCATTTGTATTATGTTTTGAGCGACTCTTTTGAGATTCTGGAATAGAGCATATAAGGGATTATTAATAAGAGAGTATAAACCACCGAGTTGACGCGATTTTCTTTCGTGCAGCTAACGCTTTTTTTCTCTTGTTATTTCACTGTAAGCGCCACTACGAAGAAAGTGCAAACTTTGAATAACCGCCAGTCAAGTATTTGCTAGTGTTACGTCTTTTGATTATATTTTCCATTGCTACAAAGCCGCGTTGTTTGTTTTGTAAGCCGTACGTGTACTTAAGGCTCTTTAAGGCGACGAAATGCAACCGGCTCTATTCTGCATTCAGATTAAGGAAACAAGGGTTCATTCGTTGTTATCAAGTGATTGAAGTAGGTTTTTAAACCAAGTATTACTGACACTCAGTTTACGAATACCTTTGTTGTTATATGCACCACTTGCGGCTGTTCGAGTCAAATCTCTGATAGAAGTCAAAAGAAAATCTGGCTTAGTTTTTATTTTACCAAAATGTGCTTCATTTTCTTGTCAAAACGTGCTTAAAAAAATAAAAGCTCGTGCATTTGCATATCTGTTAAGATGCATAAAAATGTAAAATTCTACTAAAGGGAACACGGTTCCTCCGGTTAATGTGCACATCTTTCAATTACCACTGAGAAGATGACTTTTAGATTTAACTTGTTTTTGTCGTCATGAAATGAAATTTCATTTTAAAATATAAATCAAAGCATAAATATTTCTTTAAGAGTGACAAAACGTACACTGCATAACTCTCCGATATTATCCATAGCTGGCTGTGCATGTATGCCACGATGAAAATGATTGATATGTGAGCCAAGTTGTCATAAAGGATTGTGGTAGTTGTGCCAAGTAAAAATGCAATAAAACAAACGGGCAAAGCAATCGCAATCCACGTAAAAATAAAAACAATGCATCTTCGGACTTCCGATTAGACTACTTACATAATTTCACGGGTAAATTACAAGCAGGCAGTCCATAAAAATTTAAGGCATTATATGTCTCTTGAAAAGTGGCAAGACCATCCTGAGATAGTCCGTTGTAAATATGGTAGAGATACTTAAATGTTACATGTATATGGTGGGGTGTAATGAGATGATGAATAAATTGAATGAGGCACAAGCAGACTTATACAGTGGTGGATAAAAGAGGGGACCCCTTCCCTTTTCTAAGATAAATATGCGGAATCAACTTTTGTGCCTTGCTACTAGAAGAGACAAGGCTGACTCGAAGACCAAAATACTTTAGCAAATGGTCACAGATTGGGCCATATTGAAAAAAATCTTTGTGGCGAGGCACGTAGGGTACAGTTTTGCCCACCTCCTATTCTTAAACGTGAATCCATGGTCTATTGCTACTATTTCGTTTTTTTTTCTTATATAACACCCCATTTCCATAGATTAGATCGACCTACTTTAGATCGACCTAACTCCCTGGGGGTTCACGCTAAATAGCTGTCAGCCGGGCGGACACGAAAGTTAATTACCCCCTTACAGCTTGTGGTAGGCGGGACGGACATTTAAGTCGGATTATCTGAAAGTAATCTAGTGAGACTCCCCGCGGGGATAGATCCAACTAAAATCTATGGGAATAGAGCCTAAGCCTATACGAGTAAATAGGTCTTCTAACGTTCTTATACAAATCTGAACGATTTGATAAGTCCTGTGATCGTCACTTTCTACTCAATACAGCCATCATTTGGTCAGTAATTGGAATCATCAATAAGACAGTACGCAGCAATTTGTCTTCTTTCCCCATCTGCCTCTGACTCATCACATTTTTCAATATGCTATTAGTGTTGCATATTGNATTAAAGTTATCGACGCTGAACAAGCCGGGTTGTGATTTGGGGGCATTCTCTACTGATGCTGGCATCGAGATTTTGCTACTAGCACTGTAAGGCAAATCCGCGTTTATGTCCTCTATCTGATCGTCTGCTGGTGAGGCTAGAGAGCCGTTGTGCCTATCAGTTTCATTTACGTAATATTTTTTACGACTTCCCTCTGATATTATTTTATTGTCTTCCACAGCGGAGCGGGGAAGTTGTAAACGTTCATTACGTGTAGTAAAATTATCGTCACTATCCGGATAAATATTGACTTGACCGGTAACCGTCTCAGCATTACCTGACAGCGCGTTCGTGACCAAGCATTTTAATGATGGCCCCGCTGCGCCCTCCTCTGTCGTTTCTGTCGGGGAAATATTGGCATTTCTTTGCAGACTTGGGTAATATCCCACGCCACGTAACTCTAAATTGGCTAAATCGCCTCCATCTGAAAGAACAAAATTGTTTGGTAGCTTATTCATCATTTAATTTAATCAAGTTTTTTGTCTGCCTGTGGTCGTTAAATGTGGAGTAAATGTCTAAGCACATAATCATATTAGTTTAATCAAATTTAATCAGAACAACCTTACACGTGGTACTTAAATTGCTATTTGACACATCACGGAGAGTCATTTCACTTTACATATACAGAAATGTACTTGTATGTTTAATTTTTTCAGCCTTAATCAATATGTTTATATTTACGAAATTTAATCATAATATAACATGATCTTTGCATATATCATGCTGAGGGTTATATGTCAATGATGACAGATTAAAGGAATATTAATCCGACTTTTTATCTTGAAGTGTCTGCCTGACACACAGTCGTTTTATGAGTTTGCTTGGGTAATTTCGTAAGTGTGCATCGGCTCTTAAAGCTAAGCACTGCCACTCAGTCCGCATAGCCTACAATGTGATTCAATACAGGAGAAAGGCTACATAAAAGAAATCTCATTAAATGAAAAAAACGTGACACCGAAGGAGACGTACACAGACTACTCACAATATATCATGAACTCCACTGCCTCACTCTCTAGCAAGGTTTCTAAGCGGAGGCTTTATTTCACTCACTAATTAATTTCATTTTTTAATAGAAATTAGTGAAAATAATGATTGGGCGTGTAAACTGTAACTCGGCTAAATGATATAATTCTGGCACTCGGCCAACGGGACACGTCACGTCCAATAATACGTTGAATATAACTATCGTGATTTTAAAGAAACGCTGTCCTTGAAACAATGGTTGGCCATAAATCTTTATGTGTCGTGAACTCAAGTAAGTTACGGTTCACACGTGTCCCTGCTTTGTTCTAGGCGTTCACTAAATAATCAAATATTAAATGAAAAATTCGAAGGGGCTTAATTTGGTTAATGGTCAAATACAAAAAGATATGGATTAATGACCCATTCTTCTATGCCTTCGGATTTATCAAAAGCTGTTAGTCTTAGTTACCTTCCCGACCACCACAGAACCCAGGTAAATTTGACAATGGGACCCTTCTTTTATTTGCCGATATCCACATCCCTCCACCCTCGTTTGAAATCCGTCGCCTACCCCTGATCAAAACTTTCCCAAAACTTTCTATATAAATAAATGTTGTATTTCCACCCCTATCCCTTACTGTGTCATAGAACTTATTTGAGGAATTTTCCTAATTTTTACTTTTATTTGCATTATGTTTTGAGCGATTCTTAACAGCGATATGGAATGGAGCACATAAGGGATTATAATAAGGGAGTATAAACCACCAAGTTGACGCGATTTTCTTTCGTGCAGCTAACGCTTTTTTTCTCTTGTTATTTCACTGTAAGCGCCACTACGAAGAAAGTGCAAACTTTGAATAACCGCCAGTCAAGTATTTGCTAGTGTTACGTCTTTTGATTATATTTTCCATTGCTACAAAGCCGCGTTGTTTGTTTTGTAAGCCGTACGTGTACTTAAGGCTCTTTAAGGCGACGAAATGCAACCGCCTCTATTCTGCATTCAGATTAAGGGAACAAGGGTTCATTCGTTGTTATCAAGTGATTGAAGTAGGTTTTTAAACCAAGTATTACTGACACTCAGTTTACGAATACCTTTGTTGTTACATGCACCATTTGCGGCTGTTCGAGTCAAATCTCCGAGAGAAGTCAAGAGAAAATCTGGCTCAGTTTTTTTTTTAAACCAAAACGTGCTTCATTTTCTTTTCAAAACGTGCTTAAAAATAAAAGCTCGGGCTTTGCATATCTGTTAAGATGCATAAAAATGTAAAATTCTACTATAGGGAACACAGTTCGTCTCGTTAACGTACAGATCCTTCAATGACCACAAAGAAGACGACTTTAGATTTAACTTGTTTTTGCCGTCATGAAATGGAATTTTATTAAAAAATTAAATCAAAACATAAATGTTATTTTAAGAGTGACAAAACGTACACTTCATAACTCTCTGATATTATCCATAGCTGGCTGTGCATGTATGCCACGATGAAAGTGATAGATATGTGAGCCAAGCTGTCATAGGGGGTTACATGGATTGTGGTAGTTGTGCCAAGTAAAAACGCAATAAAACAGACGGGCAAAGCAATCGCAATCCATGTAAAAATAAAAACAATGCATTTCGGACTTCCGATTAGACTGCTTATATAATTTTTCGTGTAAAATAACAAGCAGACAGGCCATACAATTTTAAGGCATTACATGCCTCTTGAAAAGTGACTAGACCATCCTGAGATAGTCCGTTGTAAATATGGTAGAGATACTTAATTATTACATGTAAATGGTGGAGTGTAATGACATGATGGATAAATTGAATGAGGCACAAGCAGACCTATACAGTGGTGGATAAAATAGGGGACCCCTTCCCTTTTTTAAGGTACATTTTCGGAATCAACTTTTGTGCCTTACTACTAGAAGAGACAAGGCTGACTCGAAGCCCAAAATACTTTTGCAAATGGTCACAGATTGGGTCATATTGAAAAAATCTTTGTGGCGAGGTACGTAGGGTACCAGCTCCTATTCTTAAACATGAATCCATGGTCTATTGCTATTATTTCGTTTTTTTCTTGTAAAGGCCTATACGATTACGCGTGTAAATAGGTCTTCCAACGTTCTTATACAAATCTGAACTATCTGATAATTCCTGTGCTCATCACTTTTTACTCAATACAGCCATCATTTGGTCAGTAATTGGAATCATCAATAAGACAGTACGCAGCAATTTGTCTTCTTTCCACATCTGCCTCTGACTCATCGCATTTTTCAATATGCTATTAGGACAGATCATCAGAATTGATGGTTATCATAACAGTGCTTCAATTCGATTTACTGTACAGAAATCCACCTGAGCTAGATATTTATGGCGGAAATCTAAGAGAAGATATTTTTGTTGTTGTTGTCTTCGTATGCTGTAACTTAAAAGGCATGCCTTTATTATCTCTCTCTCTCTCTCTCTCTCTCTCTCTCTCTCTCTCTCTCTCTCTGTATTTTAAGTACCACTCTGTGTTTCTGGTCATAGCCCATCTTCAAGTACATGTATATCTCCAAGAAACAGAAGCTATAAGGTCTCCGTTCTACGTGCCAGCTACACAAGAATAGTATTATACATGTTCATGATAAACCAACGTACACGGTAGCAAGCATATTAATTCTGCTGTACCATGAACTGAATAACATTTAATCAAAATGACTAAGCTTGCCCGCATGTTTTGGTCTTGTTTCCCATATTCGATCACGAAATGACATACAGTTACAGCAGATGTATGTGCTGTATATACTGGAATATTATCGTCTGCTGTATCGTGGTTAGAACCCGAGAAACAGTCTCTCTCTCCTTTTCTCTCTCTCTCTCTCTCACACACACACACACACACACACACACACACACACACACACACACATTTTGACAAACACACACATTGTGACACACACAAAAAGAGAAAAGCAAAGCAAATCCGGATAAACATACTACTTAAAACAAAGAGAGAGACAGACAGAATTATAGACAGATAGATGGATAGATACATCAACAACGTCCTCTGCAAAAGTGCGCTCTTATATCTGTAAAAGTGATATGGGTTTTCTCATCGCAGAGTTTATGTCAATAACATAATAAATAAATCATGCCAATGACATGATTTGTCACTGAACAACAGCAGCAGCGCTAGGACTTGACCTTAGCAATGTGCATTAACATTTTAAGAAACAATGAGAAACCTTTTTAGGTGTCACATTTTGCACCTGAAGAAGAATCGATACATCAAATCTCTTTGCTGAAAAATAACATGAATTTGCTGTGCAAACATGTAATGGCACTTAAGCCTGAGTAATGACAGCAAGCCCCTAAGCACTGTATTCTGCTTTTAAAATATCATGGCAATGTGGGTATGTTTTATTTGGGATAGGGTATGGCTGGGTGGGAAAGCATTAAAGTATATAGCAGCAGAACGCCTATATTCTGATATAAAAGCTAATTTAGCTACATTTTAATAGTTAATGGACTCTCTTATTCTATTCTCAAATCCATTATGGTATTCACGCAGTAGTAACTGTTTATAGTCTGCCCTATAGATTTCAATGTGGGTTTTGACTTCATGAAAACTAAATGCGCAATATCCCTTTCCCAACGAAATATCCTTTTTATATCTATTGAATTTGGATGTGTGTCATAATTCACCCATATTATATATTTCATGACAGCATGTTAAAGAATTACAATCACGAATATTAGAATAAATACAAATACAATTTTCAAAACTAATAATTTTAATCCAAAATGTACAATTAATTGGAGACCTACCTGTCCCCTGAATATTCGTATCACAACAGTCGTATTCCCCCTCTGAATCGTCTTCAGAATCCGAGCCCTTTGGCACGAGACGTACGCTCCCCGTAACGCTGTCCACGTCAATATCTACGTCAGAGACATCGCTATCCCAGTCAACGTTCATATCCTCCCAGGGAAGCTCTGTGATCGTTTGTAACCCGGGTTGGTAACCCCAAATGCTCTCTTTGCGAGAATAGGTATTGCTGGACATAGTTATGGCGTCGTCGCTGTCCACGGCGTCCTCACTCGACGCTTGTCCTGCCCGTCGTTTCTTTACGCTGCTCTCTGGGGAGAGGTCAAGAAGGGATTGGTAGTCCTCTTCTTCTAATATTTGCCTGTATTCGATATTCACTGTAGAGTCTTTGGTAACTATAGTAACCGACTGGAGTTCGTCCTCTAGATTGTACTCTTCTGTTTGGGGAGTATATGGGTAATTAGCCAGAGTATCCTTCGGGACATCCCTTATTGAACAGGAGGAACCATTCTGCAATATGCGCTTATCGGTATTATTTGAGGCTGATCGAACGAAGATTTCGCTGAAGCAACCAGTCTCAACGTCGTTCTCAGGGACCTCTTTGGTCGAGTCCCACGGTTTAACGCACTTTCTATTTTGCTTCAAATCCTGGTTTAGACCTAATTCTAATACGACTGGTTGGTCGGCTGTGTGCAAATTGTTGTCACATGAACGCCCCTTGCATTCCCGTGAAATATTTATGTTACTGCGACAAAGCGATGACATGTTGGTTGCACGTCTCTTACCGGTGTTTTCAGAACACTGACTAGGTTGAGTTGGAGAAACGACATATTTAGGGCTTACATACGTCTGTCGCACCCCCTCCGCTGTTGCACTGAATCTAATCTCATCCGGCTGAGCCATCATGTCGGACTCCAAGGAGTATGCCGAAGTAGGACTACCATTGTTGTTATCAGAGCGAGTCGCATAGTCACCGAGGCCGTCGTCGACGTTTTCCTCCTCGTCTACGTCCTTGACAGACCTTCTGAGCACGCGTCCTCCTTTGTACTCGAGAATAAATCGCCATGACAGAACAAACGTTATAACCGTCGCTATGGCCGCAGAAAGAAACCGTTCGAACAGTCCATCGGAGAGGCCCGCCATTGCTGTATCTGTATGCTGTGCAAGCTTAGACGTTATCGATTCAATTACGACTCCGCTGATCGTCTAGAATAAACACGACTCCTGGTAATTTTACTTGATTTGCATTGGCTCTATGAAACGCCGAGTATGCGAGTGTGACTGTCTCCATAGCCACAAGGACACACACGTTGACACAATACAGTTTATCCGATTACGGTGTTGATGAATATGGCTGACCTGCTTTCCAAGGTAAAAATGCAGGCTAATTAGTATCAGCAATACTGAGATTATGTTAAGCGCAAGTTTGAAATAAACGTGTATTGAATTTTTTTATCTTAAGAAAACGGGTTGTCATGGGCGTTGGCAAGTAGTCCGTGAACATCCGTATTTCTAGTGTCTATGTTTGGTGAGGTGTCCTGGAATAGATGTAAACTAAATTAGACATTTAACCTGAACATCTTTCAACAAATATCGTGGCCTTTTCAGAGAAATAATTTCCAAGTACAAGTTTGAAAGTATAGACAATTGACTCTTTTCTAAGAAAGTTTCACATTTTAACTTTCCTTCTGCACTAAGAATCCGAAGAGCAACATTATAAACTACAAATCTATGCAATATAAAAAAAAGGCAAGTCATATCCTTTTCTTTGAAAACCAAAATCAATATATCATCATGTACTGCACGTATTTTAGATAAGATGACTGTCTTATACAACACTTTATAAAGGAACAGTCACCGCACAGTGTGCATACAGAGTGCGGGTGAATTACATATGTGTTATTGATATTGACGGGGTGTTCTATTTTTAATTCAAATGAAAAAGATTGACAAGTAAGCGCATATCTTAATTAGTGACAGTATCGCAATCTCTCAATTACATCTTAATTAGTGACAACATGTTCGTTAGTGTCTCGATCACCACGCATCTGCTGCACTGTAAATTGATTTTTGTCGCATTTTTGAAATTTAACATTCAAATTAAATACATTTTATATTCTACCCACCAATTTGTACCCTTGTTTCTCCGCCACATGCAACGTAAAATATCTCTCGGCTTGGCCATTATGAGACAAGTTTTGATCCATCTTCGTCGACAACATAAAAACGCACATATTGGTCTTGAAAATTAAGATAAAGATCTGTATTGTGCTCTGATAAACAATTTTTATGTGAGTCCCTTACCTACTGATGTCCTCTGTTTCCCTCTGTTTACTGTTGTTTTCCAAGAAGTTAACTGTGTCATGCACAACGCTCATTAAATAATCACGAATCCTTCTTCTGAACGTTCCTTCAGCGCAATGGTTGTTGCTGGAAATGATCTACGTGTACAGGGAATCAACAACAAAATGGCAAAGCGCAACCTTATCCATATCGTGTTTTCACGTGGCCTTCTGTCGTGCAGAATCAAATACAACACAGCTACAACGAACAGGGATTTTGCAGTGTCACAAGAGAACTGTCAATAGTTCAAGATTAGTGGTAGCAGCAACTACGGGGGCTGACATTTTCTATCTCCTAGTATTCCCCAAGCCTCTTCTGACTATGCTTTGTCGTCACCGTTTATAGACCGACCATGTAAAGTTTGTCCTGGTCATTTTCTGAAAAACAGTTTAAAAATGTTATGGAAAAATTCTCCTCATATGCAATTGCACAATTTGCACTATAAAACGCATCCATTTTTTTGTTATATTTCACATCTTACCTCAGCAATGACAGATCCAGAGGGGGGCATAGCGGGCCCGTACCCCTCCATTCCTTTTTTATCCAAAAACTAGTGTAACTAATGGAACTAGACAAAACCAGGTTCGCTTTTTCATCCCTGTGTCGTAGATGTAATAGAGAAATTACCCTTATCTACGTACTGCACAGTCGTGCATCCTCCAGTGCGCACTTTACTTGTGAACTAATTCCTCATTTTAGTAAAACAGGCAATATCCGCACTGGAATCTTTCGCGACTTGGACTGGCGTGTATTTTAGTAAAACAGGCAGTGTCTGCACTTGAATCCTAAGCAATATGGACTGGCGTGTATTTTCTAAGCCCAGTGTTTTTTGCGTATAGGCGAACTCTTTTAATGTATTGGAATAACTGATTAAAACAGCGTTTCTGTGGAAAACGAACACCAACCTTGTGACCATTAGTATTGCTTCAATCGAAGCTTGTAATTGATGGAATCTCAAAATACACCGAAGCACTGTAGGCCTATTTAAATCTCACGTGATTAAGCTTTCACTGAAAAATAGATTTTTTTTATAATTACAACTTATACTGGGCAGTCACTGTTAATATAATCAAATATCTTCGGTTTTAGCGGTGTTTGATTGAATCTAGGCAGCGAAAAAGATCCGGATAATATTTCAATAGTCCTTGGAGATACCATGATCTCTTCTGATTTATATTAGTGTCGGCTTAAACTCCGAGGGGAATCTTGGCGATGGAAAGGGGGCGATGGCCGAGGAGGAATCCAGGTCAACTTTACTATGCAACTGGGAGACTTTTGTCTACATTTCTAGCTGGACAGATGTACAGAAATGTGCACAGAATAAGCAGGAGAAACTTTGAATATAAAAGTGAAAAAAAATATGTGGCTTAAGTAGGTCAATTCGACGTACTTTTTAAACAGGGGAAGGTTCAGTTTTTGCTCTACTGTGGTTAACATTAGGTATATACATTTTAAAATTTTGTTTTAATGGTGCAAAACCAAAATGGTACACGTTACTTGTTTTTAATGTTGATCTATTATGTACTTTTTAAATTCAGTTTTCCATGACTGTGAATTAACATAACTGATATCTTAAATGGCAAGAGAGTTCGAATGTGGCATACTTCTCTTTTTTACTCTTGGGGTAAATGGCATGTATCTGCATGTGTACCAGTAAAGGTACATTATTGACTGTGTTATTCACTATAGTAACATATTTAAAAAAAGAGTTAAGCCGACAAACCATCTAATATAATAACAGATGAAATAAAAATCAATCCCCTTCAAGACTTACAGCAACTACAGGGCATATATAGTGCACATGTATATTGAGCAATTACAATTTTTGGCACAGGAAAATAGATCCATAATCGTTTCTAAAGCATATTTTGCAAATTGGGTTATCCAGTATATAATGCAACCATGTACCTCAAAGAATAGTCCCTGTGTGATTATCAATGCTCAACTAATAGATTAAGTGCAGTGCATGCTTCCAGCAATTGGTTGTTTATAAATCATTGTTTAACCGACAGACATAACCAGGAGTACGTTTCCCCTATTCTCAAAAAAAAAAAAAAAAAAAAAAAANAAAAAAAAAAAAAAAAAAAAAAGAATGCTCCGTCTTGCCACTTTTTCGATAACTGTCGAAGGTTTATCATAAGACGTTATATAGGCGTCATACTGCATGCGAACCACATATATCTACATGTAGATATATTATATGATCAATGCTATTTTACACCATTCGCACCTTTTTGCACGATTAAGTGCCAAACTGACCGTCCTTATTGGAAGGAAATTGTTCATTTGAACCAAGGATTCCGAAACGGAAAACAGTAAAATGGCCATTCAGAACTTAATGTGCCTTATAGTGCTGAGCGATGTCCAAAGAATCTCAGTGACAAGCTGAAAGAACTTGACGTCTTTTTCTTATTGATTTGAAACTCAATGCGAAATGTTGCTTCCCTTCCAAAAACATAAACTAACGCGAATGTCTTTGCTGGTATGTATCTGACATACGCTTTATGTCCCCATCGATTTTTCCCTCCGCACCATAGCACCTATAAGTGGTAAAATATTATTCAATATTACTTGCTCAACACCCCAATGACTGCCATTTCCTGTAATCTCTAGGAAAATTCAATAAGCAGAGACTAGTCAATAATTATTTCCTTTATAGGCAGGTTGTATCTATGTTCTGTTGTCTAATAACAATGGGATCGATGGTGTAACTGATTACAAAATTACCATCAAAAGTATGCTGCTTTTACTTATTATAAAGTGATTTGAGACTTCAGTCACTTCAGAGCAAGAATATCTATGCGTTTTTTTCCCCTCAGTTTTGTGTGCATTTGTGAATAATTTTTTACCCTCCCCCAAACTTCCACAGACCACAAACTATCCTTTTTTAAAACTGATTACATTCATTTTTTAAAACTGATTTCATTCACAGTATACATTCAAACTGAATTTACACACTGAGTTAGGAGAAACGTTTCTCGTGCACAATCGAGCTTAAATGGTATACACGGTTATTTTCACTCTTACGATGCTGATTTCTTTCATTTTTTTGCACACAAAATGGCAATTATCTTTACATATCCCTATGAAGGAACTTTCCTCTCCCAACAAATCAGTGCCTTGGCACGTGTTTAGCCCCGTGCTTGGCTCCCAGGAGAACCGAATCGATCAGATGTACTCTGTGAAATGATCTGCATTCTACCATATTAGAAGGGCACACGGCCATGTACGTACGTATGTTAATGCTGTTATATACAGTTGTTGACTATGTACTCAGTGCCATCGACCTACAAGGGCATATGCATGTAGTTAGAGTGCGCATATCGTTTCCGTGTGTCCAGTGACTGAGTGTGTGTGTGTGTGTGTGAGAGAGAGAGAGAGAGAGAGAGAGAGAGAAGGAGAGAAAGAGAGAGAGACTTATGTCGTTTCTAGAGTTAAATACTTTTGAATTGACCATAATAATTAACAGAGATCTTCAAAACCATGGCAATGTAACGAAAATTAATCACGATAGAATCTCAAATTCATCAAGCATAAAGTCTGGACCTATAAGAACCTCCAGTGCGAATTGCTCGTTGGCAAAAAGTCGGAAGAAAAAGCTGCGCCACAGGTGAAATATATATCCGTCGACGTCTCCGAACAATATCACACTGCAACAAACCATCCAAATCTATACTGCAGAACCTCAAGTTAATGATCCAATTTTATACCTTGTATAACGTAGCTGATTGTGCGGTTTTGCGGCCAAAATCCCATGCTTTAGATAAGATTAGGAACGTCACGGCGTTGGGATGTTTTGAAAACAAGTCCATTTGTGGTTTAATTTTGGTATAACTTAATTACGTCTTGATGTTACGTAAATTTTAAAACTAACAACAGTCACCAGGGCTATATTTTTTAATGATTTATTTATTATAACAACGTACATCCCAACAGCTACTCCTCTTCACTATGATATTCAAAATTGCTGGGTTCATGTGAGTTTTAAGGTTATACATGTATCTCGACAGATTCACAGTCAAAACCCTTCACCAACTGTCCAAGTCGGATAATATAAGACCAAAAACTTTGCAACCCGAGTCGAAGGCGGTTCTCTCTGTGAAAACGACAGGAAGATAAAGAGACACTACTGCCCTGTAGACATGTCAATTTTTAAGTGATTATCTATGAAGAGTTATCTGGTCACGAATTTTAGTCGTGAATTTGTCTTCCTCTAGAAATGATCCGAGTGCATTTCACAATGAATGACTCAAAGTACTTAAGATGAAAATCCATTAATTAAGCCCAAAGACAACAGAATACGTTCTCGTCTGGCCGCCATTAACGTTATGCTATATAATGATTTGCAAAGTGTGTCGCTTTTTCAACAAACCGATCTTTAGGCCAAGCGCACGTTCTTTTTCTTTCACTGAAGACTTTTTCGTGTAGCAATTTAGCAGACTAAATGGGCCTTAATAGGCAAAAGCACGTTTGAGACGTCAACTCTCTAGACTTGACTTTAACTTTTACCTACCTCTAAGTTTAGTGCTGGGCAATGTCCACAGTTCAGTCTTCGCCCACAATGCCGTTCTAAGTGACCCGTTACGTCTGAGCTCATAGATGTAGATAACCTAGGCGAAGACAGTGGTAACGGGAGCGTGGGCACACTTGGACTGGCATTAAGTGCGCTCTTGACATGTGCCACTCGCTATCAAATGCAATTTATTCCTGAATTTTGAGAAAAATTAAAAGTTTTGCATTTATCTTTATCGCACCAGGTTTTAGTCTATGTATAATCTCTAAAATGTTCTGTATATTCTTTATATGGATGTTTTATTTGTTCCTTCATAGAAAGATTTCGCAAAACAGCATACACAACGGTAACAAATTTACATAAAATGATTTTTAAAAATTAATAAATAAATAAATAAAAATCACTCACTAATTTCTTTTCCTCGACAGGTCCAAACAATTCATTAACGTGGCCAGTCTCGTGGAAGTTTTCCCTCCAAGCATCGGTGCGCTTTCTGTGTCTTATCTAAACACTGTGATGTCTAAGTACTAGTTGACTCTTATCATGTCAGGAGGACAACTCATTAGATAAGACACATCCTCTTGATCATGTGTATAATACATGATGTATTTTCATAACTTGAGCAGGCTGTGCTGTTCTTACTAGTTTTAATAAACGTGGTGTTAGATCTTATTCAGGCCCGTAGCCAGGGGGGGGGGTGGTTTGGGGGGGGGGAGGGTTCGAATGAACCCCCCCCCCCTTTTTGCTGAAAAAAAGGTCCACTCTGGGTAAAATTTGACCTAGGTATATTGGGATTATATGGTAAAAGGTCCACTCTTACAGAAAAAGAGCCCCCCCCCCTTTGAAATTGCTGGCTACGGGCCTGTTATTTCAGGCGGCAGGCACGTATATTAATATCCTAGCCCCCTCCCGTGTTTTATTTTCCATACAACTGATTCCATCACCCTGTGTTTCAGCTGTTATTGGACTCTCGTCTCTGTTGTTAACATGTCTCTGTCGCTTCAAGTATATCCCGTGGCCCATAAAAATCAGGGTTAATTCCATCTACCCGCTTATATTGAACGGAGCACCAAAATGTAGTGTACGGAAGGGGGTGGTCCCCTCTCTCTGCCCCTCCCCCCTTAGCTTCCTCGTTAAAATCTCCTCCCACACCTCTGTTGTCTTCGGTTTCCCTTCAAACTATGTAAAATGAAAGTACCCCAGCCTTAGCCTGCCAAATAACTGTCAAGTAGAACCCCAGTCATTCATAAGCTCATAAACGTTGATTTAAAAGTAGAAAATAAAATTCTGGTGGATTATTTGAGAAAAACAATGCACTTGTGAAAAAAAATCAGACTTCGGAGGATACCATTAGCCACCACAAATACCCCCTGTTTATACTATAAACCTGGACAGAAAAAATGTAAATTTTTTGGGGAAAATATCACCAATAACAAAGACATCAGCCCCATGTTAATCTTTCCATATTGCTCCCGGTTGTGATTATCGTTGCCCATTGTAGTAGATGAGACAAAAGCGCATTGAATTGCAGCGGCTCCCAGTCCAAGCACGTGATGCAGTTGAGTTGGAAAAAGGCAACAGGAGAAACACCTCTCTGAAAATGACATTAGAAGAACTAAACGACAATGTGCTGTTGACGATTTTTATTTCCTTTAATCCTGGGTCAGTATATGGTTTTCAATAAAGTGAATTTGAAACATTAACATAACTTTCATTCTACATTTTGTACACTTTCCGCTTCAAAAATGAAATTTACAAAACTTTGTCAGTAGTGAAAAGTGAATACTCAGTTGATTACTGATGTTTTTCCCCTTTGCATAGGCGTGGCCTCAAACATAACGTACATACTGATTTATTTTAGAAAAGGGTTTTCCGACAATTCGGCGTAAAATGTCATTTTAATATATTTGAAATTAATAAAGGTGAGTATAATTGTGTTATAATTAAATGTAGTCAGAGATGTTGTGAATTAGTTTAGACAAGCAGCACTCTTTAGCATATTTTCTTTTATTAAGGTCTGAATTCTTATCAGTCACAGACTTTTACCAAGATGGTAATGAAATTGCCTGTTTTCTTTTTTAAGCTTGAAGAGTAACTGTTACAGAAATGAAGGGAAATTAAATGGGATAATGTGCACTATTAAATCCAAGTAAACATATATATTCTGTATTATTATATGGATTTTTTCAATGAACATGTAGTGAGAATAAAAATTGAAAGTTTACAATTTTATCAAACTTGTTTATTTATTTTAGAAAAACATTTTGTTTGATATAATTATTNTATTCAGTGCACAGACCGTGATCATAAGACATACCGAAAATAGAAAATAGACATTGCATGTGAACGAAGCCTAAGCACGTGATGCAGTCGAGTTGAAAAAGGCAACAGGAGAAAAACCTCTCTGAAAATGACATTAGAAGAACTAAACGACAATGTGCTGTTGACGATTTTTATTTCCTTTAATCCTGGGTCAGTATATGGTTGTCAATAAAGTGAAGTTGAAACACTAACCTAACTTTCATTCTACATTTTGTACACTTGCCGCTTCAAAAATGAAATTTACAAAACTTTGTCAGTAGTGAAAAATGAATACTCAGTTGATTACTGATGTTTTTCCCCTTTGCATAGGCGTGGCCTCAAACATCATGTACATATTGATTGATTTGTTTTAGAAAAGGGTTTTCCGGCGATTCAGCGTAAAATGTCATTTTAATTTATTTAAAATTAATAAAGGTGAGTATAATTGTGTTATAATTAAATGTAGTCAGAGATGTTGTGAATTAGTTTAGACAAGCAGCACTCTTTAGCATATTTTCTTTTATTAAGGTCTGAATTCTTACCAGTCACAGACTTTTCCCAAGATGGTAATGAAATTGCCTGTTTTCTTTTTTAAGCTTGAAGAGTAACTGTTACAGAAATGAAGGGAAATTAAATGGGATAATGTGCACTATTAAACACAAGTAAACATATATATTCTGTATTATTATATGGATTTTTTCAATGAACATGTAGTTAGAATAAAAATTGAAAGTTTACAATTTTATCAAACTTGTTTATTTATTTTAGATAAATATTTTGTTTGATATAATTATTTTGAGATACAGTGATAAAAATGACACAATAGTCATTGTTTGTTTTGCAGATTGGTAGTTGGTGATGAGAGAGATAGACATCGGTTGATTACAAGGCCAGACCTTACAGTTGTTATTAAGATCTATGCTTTTCCTTTGCCTTTCAGCACTGTATAGACTTAGACAGGTAAAGACAATTTTTTCCAAGTAGTATCTGATAAATGTCACACCACTTATGTCTGTTTCTATTCTTTGTACATGTAGGATAATATTTTGATAGCAGCTTTGCTTATTTTTGTCATATCTTATCAATTTCTCCTTTTTTTCCCACTTTTTCAACCGTTTGTCAAACTTGTAATAAAAATATAAGAATTAATAACAAATAAAATGCAATTTTCTAATTAAAGTATGAAACAGCATGATAAACCAAAGTTTTTGTTCAACTGAGAAACTAATGACTTCACTGTCTTTGTAATTGTATACAGAGGCAAAAAGAAAAAAATGGTCAAAACTATCTGAATAGGATGAGATTTTATCTATCAGTTGCATATATAAATCAATTAGTTATCAAACCATTCTATTTCCATACTTGTACCATTCCATGTACATGGTGGGAAGCTTTTTTTTCTTTTTTGTAAAGCCGTACTGTATTTACAGCCAAATTAATCCACCCTGAGTGCCACAGACCACTGGAAACTCTTTTGGAAAACAATGTATCAGCTCACCTGTAGTATTTCCAGTAGCTGACAGGAATACTGAGTATAGAGGGTGCATTTTAAGAGTAAAGGTAAGGCACTGTAAGCTCAGAGTGAAATTGGCTGACATTTCTGTGGAATGAAATTCAACCTCAACCAAAGCAGTAAATTGCCATGAAATACCAACTGGAAATTCTATCTCTAGATTGTTTGTCGAGAAACTTTGGCAACGGAATATTTGGGTAAATAACATCAGCAGACAGGTGCAGCTTGGTCTGACCTATAGAGCGAAGAGTATTTGCTGCTGTAGGTGGTAGTTTCTATCAGAGTTATGTTTATAAATAGTACTGTAGATTGTCTTGATAGTTAGGCCTGAGAGCATGTCACATGTATCGGACCATCTGTACATCTGGGTATTTATCTTTATATATACACGTACATGTAGCCAAATGATGCAGCATTGGCATAAATGAAATTATTTCAATAGTGCAGAATCATATGTGACACCTAGAAACAAGCTGTGCACATTATGCTGTTGGACATGGATGATAATAACAGCAGAAGAAGGGAGTGTTACAGTAACAAGCTGTTGAGAGACATTATCAGGAATATACAGCGAAAGACATAGATATTAATGTCATGAGAAAGTGAGCTGGGTTGTTAAAGATAAGGAAAGATATTCCGTCGAAGGAAAATGGGACAAAAAGTTTTTTGTTTCCTGTAGAAAATCACTGTTTTCATTACGATTACATCTTACTTACCTGAGCTGCTGACGTAATACAGGTAAAAAATAGATGCAAGGAATACCATGCCTATTTTTTCCAGGGAGAGGCAGGATTTGAGTAAGGAAAACTGTTTTGTATTTTATTGAGAACGTATGCCTCAGTGACGAGTAATGGTGTAGCAAACATTAATATCCCAGAAGAGGAAGGTTGCAGGTTATTTCAGCAACAGATGTAGAAAATACCAAGGACTATAAATTTTGTAGAAATTGCCAGAAAACAGAATTCCTCAAGATATACATGGTGGGTGCAACAGCAGATAATGGAGGAATGTGTAGGATTTTCATTCTTGGAGAAAAACTAACGTGTATGACATACCATATACTATATGGAACTCTGCTGTGATAAAATTTCCTCCACATAGAAATGATAGAAGTCTAGGAATAGTGGGAGAAAATGTTCATTTGGAGTGACATTGTAGAAGTCACTGTGCCTGAAGAAGTTTGTCTCTGATTCAAGCTGCCATTAATTACTTCACTGATATCCTGTCTTGTTTAATTGGAACTCATTCACCTGGGACCTTGCTCCCATATGGACATCTTCTCCATGGGCCATCTGCTGGTCACTGTTTAATGGCCTCTTGATGACGAAGCCAATTAATTAAGACAATTTAGAAGAAGCTGTGAAGAAAAAGGAGACAGTTTAGTACTATTAAGCTCTGGGTGTACCTCTACTTCTGTTCATTGATACAGTCAGGTAGAAAGATGATACAGTTAATTGTTGAAAAGTGAAAGATGCTAGGATACAAATTTGACTGTTGTAACCCATAGTAAGCCAGGAGAGAAGAACTGACATAATTTACTCACAAAATGTCTGAAAGACAATAAGAGTTTACCAACAGAACATTTCGAGGGGAATAACAAAATTTGCCTCCTTGTTGGATATAAGAAAACACTTAATTTACAATTGCTTGTGTGCAAATGAGCATTTATCCTACCTGCACATGTACTAGTAGGTATGTACCAAGTATATATGTACCACAGGAGTCTTTTGACATACAAAACTCATTTGGGAATTCTGGCATTGTGAGGTGCTCTGAGATATTTTAAACTGTAGGAAGAGGATTTGACATTCAGTTACAATTGACAACATGGCAATGTGGGGTGTTGGTCAACTTGGCTGGGTTTGGCGGAGAATGACATCCTGTTTCCGTGGCAACTTGACAAATTCTCCAGATGATGATGGTGATGACGATCAGAGAGAATGTTGTAAAAGTGACAAGGAAAGCCTCAGTGACACTGACTCTCAGGATGGGTTCTTCGATACCGATTGGAAAGATGTCAGTGAATCGTCAAAATTAGAAACAGTTGAAAACAGGTATGTTGTAACACCAAAAGCAAACATGGACACAGTAGATGAAAGTGATGATAATGAAAAGGAAGACTTGTATGAACCTGTTGCCAGAGCGACAAATACAGGAGAAATGAAAGAAGCTAAAATTGCGGCAAATGATGCTGAATTAAGAACAGAGAATTACACCGTCACACCAACAGAATGTAACGATAGAGAAAGGAAAAGAAGGATTTATGTGGAAAGTGATGGAAGTGATGATGACTATGAGCCGGTTACTGTCCAGGGAACACTCATGATGCCGAAAAAAGTCTGCGACACTGAGAAGATTGACAATCACAGTGCTGAACCAGTTATGACACATGCTTCTCCAAGGGAATGCAAACCAAAAAGTGACACTAATATTTATTTCAAACCAGATTTTGAAAATTATGACAAACCGGGTGATAACTTAGTGAAATGTGAACAACATGACTCAGACAATAATTTAATATCTGCTCAGAATAACAAAACTGAGGAACCAACATCTTCCCAAGATTCAACTGGTAAAGATGGCCATGCTCCTCGTTATGTGAAGATAATGAGTGTGTCACAGTCAGATCTCAACAAACACAATTTCCTTGATGGTATTGACAAGAAAACTGACAACGAAATTAACAAAGAAATTGACATTGAAAACAAAAGTGAAATTGACGATGAAAATAACCAGGATAACGTTTTTGAAGATATTCTTTTCAAAACTAACTCCACAAATGAAGTGAATAAAGTTGATTTTTATCAGTTGCAATTTGAACAAAATCCAAATGAAGAAAGTACATCTGTGGATTATGATTATGATGATACTATGCTTTTGATGGACTCAGATTCTGAAAATGACAATACTGTCAGTAATGATAATGAAGCTCATGGTGCTAATATTTCTAACAGTAACAATAATGATAGTAATAACTACATCGACGTTATTGCTATTAATGCCTGCATTCAGGAAAAAAGTTGTGACACGGGTTTGGAAGACAATGTTGATGTTGATTTTGATGGTAGTTATGAATACGATGATGTTGTCAATGCCACTGCAGATGCTGATACTGTACTTTCACAGAACTTTAGTGTCAATGATAGTTCTGTAGCTGATAACACTGCTAAGAATAACCAACAGGATGCTGGTTGTGATGATGCTACTGCTGATATCCAATGCGATGACAATAAAGACAATAGTCTGGACAACATTCTGGACAAAACTGCATGTAATGCTGATGTTAACATTGACAGTAATGACGAATATGATGATGTTGTCAATGTAAGTGACCAAACAAGCCTTGCTACTGATGAAAATCAAACAGACACTGAAAAGAAAGTTCTCCCAAATCAAACATCATCAACAGCTAATGCAGGAGATAAAATTGATAATGATCCGGAGGCATGTAACAAAAATGATACAGCATCCGCATCCAAGGAATTATCCCATGAATATGATGAAACTGATGAATCTTGTAGTAATGTGGTTGATAGGATTAAAGACAGGAGCAGGAGAATATCAAGCCACCTCTATGAGGATGTCACTGAGATTGACAATGATGAACACCATGCAAAACTAAGTTCAGATGGTCAAGATTTATTAAGACATGATTACAGCCATACCTCAGAAGAGGAGTGTGGTGGTTCGATAAATCTCACCACCATTGGCAATGAAAGCAACATAGAGCTTGTGCCAGCCCATGAATATGAGGACACAGTTGATGGTGACAATGACATCGTTGATGGAAGCATAGAAAATTTTGAGCGTGTTACAGGGGATCAAAGACCCATTTCATTCCATTCATATGAAGATGCAGAGAGTTACTATTCTGAGCAGAGTTATAGTGAAAAATGGCAGTCCAATCATGATTATGAGGACACTTCTGATGATAATGGTGGTGATGTTGAGCATATTGATGCCAGTCAGAATAATGAAAGTGTTGAAGCTGTTGGCATGACAACTGGTCACCAGTATAAAGAAGCTGAGGATGATAAGAGCAAAGGCGTTCAGTCTCGTGAACGCATCTTGTCAAGAAATCATAGTTACGAGGACATTGATCTTGATTATGATTATAGTAACAGTTGTAGTAGTTTCAGTACTGATAATGCCAGTAACAGCAGTGTAAGTGCTGCAATGGTAGTTGAAAATGGCACATATTTCGATTCTCAGGTTTCAGATGGAAAACCAGCTGTTCCAGATTTCCCCTATGATTACGAAGGGTATCTTGAACCCAAATCTTTTACTGAACATATCTATGAAAATTTACCTACAGTAGCCTTTGTTGAGCAAGAAAGTGAAAGTAATGTTGATAATGGTCAGGAGGGTGTATTAGATGGGAAGGGTGTGGCATGGGAAGATGGTGGAGAGAAGATTACTGACACATTTTGGAGTAATACCTCTTTTGTTTGATTTATATTTCTCTGTTTCCAACTTGTTTATTCATTTACTTTTTGTGAAATCTACTCTTTTTTTCAATCACCTTGATTAAAGCTCATTTCTTTTTTGATTGACCACTGTTGCGTTTACAGTAAGTGCTATTACTGAGCTAGGACCCAAAATATCTTCTATCCTAGTGCTGAGCTCCTCATTATATATTTTAAAACTTATAGTTAATTCAATTTTTTATATGTTGTTTTTATTAATTGATCAATTTGGCATTATTTGATTGATTTATAGCAAAAATAACATTTGTAAATCAAATATATAAACAAACTATATAATTGTACAATGGTACCCAAATATTTACATTAATTCTTTTCATTAATAATGCGGTAACAAGTAAGTTAACTTTGCCGTTTGCCGTTATATATTATATCACAGGCTTAGATATATTAAGTGCTAAGATCATTTTATAAGCCTGAATAAAACCTGATCTGCTTTTATAGTTGTTACGTTATCTGTTTTATATTTATTTTGGATGA